GAAAGAACAAATAGAGCTGTGGAGTGTTCCAGAAGCAGTGTGTGTGTGTGTGTGTGTGTGTGTGTGTGTGTGTGTGTGTGTGTGTAAAAGAACTGCAGAGACTGATAGGACTACAAACTTAGGCTCAACTGATACAACATTCACGTAAGGTTGTGGTGTCCACCCATTTACTTCATGACAGAAGTGCTACTGCAAGCACTGGATAACTCTGAACAGAAACAGCTATGTAACAAACTCCTCTTGGGGCTGGAGAGATGGCTCAGCAGTTAAGAGCACTGACTACTCTTGCAGAGGACCCAGGTTCAATTCCCAGCACCCACATGGCGGCTACGAACCGTCCTTAACTCCAGTTCCAGGGGAATCCAAAGCCCTCTTCTGACTTCTGTGGCATTGCACGACATGGGTGCACTCACAAACATGCAGGCAATACAATATTTTTAAAAATTAAAAAAAAAGAGAATACTTCTCTCATTAGGCAGCCCAGGGAGTAGGGTGTGCTGCAGCCCCTCCAATTCTCTTCCTACAGAAAATCCCCAGTTCCTGGCATAAGTCCTTCCACCTAATTCACAGAACAGTATTAATAATAGGACCCAAGAGGCTGTTTGTACCAGACATGGTGGCATACACCTTTAACCCCAGTACTTCGGAGGCAGAGGCGGGCAGATCTCTGTGAGATCCAGGCCTGCCTGCTGTTTGACATAGCAAGTTTCAGGCCAGCTGGGGCTGCAGCAAGCCCCTGTCTCAAAAAAAAAAAGGCTGTCTGTCCTTAGAAATTCATGCTCACAGCTTTGCTGGCCTGAGAGAACAAGATTTTGAAGGAGAGCCCATAACCATAAAGGATAAGTCACGCAACATGAATGAGTTATGCAAAAACTGCGGAACTTTTCTGAACTCCTGTTTTCCTTCTGAAAGTCTATTAATTAATCCATTCCAAACACAAAGATACCTACAGGATCAGACATACAGGCCCAAAATTAATGGGCATTGAGTGTAATGAGCTTTCCTACTGGGCAGAGCTTCACACATGATGTCACAACTTAAATGAGCCCATCCTATGTGCTTACAGAAAAAGAAATACTTAAGGCTCCTGACTATATGATCAATATTTAAAGAATTTAAAGATCTCAAAGTAACTTTTTTTTTTGGTCTTTTTGAGACAGGGTTCCAGGCCCCAGTTGCTTGGAACTCTAAGGAGATCAGGCTGGCCTCTGATCTCAGAGAGATTCCCCTGCCTCTGCCTCTTGAGTGCTAGGAACTAAAAGCATGTGCTACCATACCTGGTTCAAAGTAACTTTTTTTTAAAAGACTTTAATTACGGGCTGGAGAGATGGCTCAGCAGTTAAGAATACTGACTGTTCTTGCAGAAGACCCGGGTTCGATTCCCAACACCCACATGGCAGCTAACAACTGTCTGTAACTCCAGTTCTAGGGGATCCAATGGCCTCTTTTGTCTTCCACAGGCACTGCATGACACAGGTACACTTACATACATACAGGCATAGCACTCATACACATAAAACAAAAATAAATAATTTTTTTTTTTTTGGTCTTTTTGAGATATGGTCTCCCCTGTAGCCCCAGCTGTCCTGGAACTATGTAGACCAGGCTGGCCTGGAACTCACAGAGATCTGCCTGCCTCTGCCTCCCAAGTGCTCGGAGTAAAGGTGTGCACCACCACGCCCGGCCCAAATAAAATATTTTTTTAAAAAAGAATTTAATTACACCAAATGTGTTGACACACACCTTTAATCACAGCACTTGGGAGTCAAAGGCAGGTAGATCTCTGAGTTTCAGGCCAGTCACATT